TCAACCAATCAACTTGCTTGACAGGCAGGTCTGCACAACACATATAGCTGAGATTCTGGAGGTGTGTGTGTTACAGTTCCACTCTATAGTCTCTATGACTTATGCTTACCCCTGACCCTCTTCTCTGTGGGGGTTCCTGGAGACATTTACATAAACTGCATCTGCAGTAGAATTATAACTCCACCTTTAATCCCATCTGGGACACTCAGTGCCACAACCAAGGACTGCAGGCAGAGGGCAGAAGGTCAGGTGTGTCTTCTGTTCACAGCAGTGTAGTCCCCATTGGCTTCCTCTGACTGTCTGCGCAGGGTTACTCTTCTCTACATAGTGGTGTTAGTGTATGCAGGGTCAGAGGAGTTAAATCCACCCATTCTCTGACAGAAGGAGAAACTGATGAAACAGTTGTTATGCTTTGACAGTAGAAAATCCACCATTTCCACTAATGAAAAGGCTGTCAAAGTGAAGTTTACTGCACACTTCATCAGAATTTCACTTCATGAGTAACATTTTTTTTATTTTTATGAAATGTAGTTTAAGTTAGATTACTTTATTTGTACCCATGGGTGGATTTGTTTTGCAGCTATAAAAGAGAAGGCATCCATCCAACACACAGTACAAAATTATAACAGTATAACTTTTAGCCTTATGTTTAATTTTGCATTCAGCTATTTTACATACAGTGAAATGTATGCAGACTAGCATCTCCGTAGCTGTGGTTAAAGTACTTCTTAGAGCAGTCTGAGATTCTGTACGCTACTTTTCATAGTACTTTATCTTCTTACAGCATCACCTCATTATGACTCCATGAGCATTAACAGGAGTGCCCGCAACATCCTTTCAGTTCAACTTTGACTGCTCCTCATTGTCAAAGCGGAATTACTCATTTTGCTCTTTTGAGATTGTGCTCACGTGACTCATCGTTAACAATGTAACAGCTTTCCTTTTACAAGGAGAGTGGAGTTTAATGGGAGGGATTACTTTTGAGGTGCAGCGAACAAGTTCAGCACAAAACATTAATCTGGCCACCTGAGAAAATACGAAGCAAGAGATAAGGGATGTAGTGTGTTCATATTAATTGAGGTGTTTGATGTGTGGGGGAGTGATTATTAGTGGAGGTGTTTATGGGGTTCCCTGCAACGGTTTGGCCGATATTGAAGAAAATGCTGAACTAATGTCAAGTCACAAACGTTTTACCAACAGTCCAACAGTCCACTGCAGTCACCAGCAGAGCTGACTTTGCCAAGCTGGAAAAAAACATTTGAGTAGTATAGAAGGGAATGTATATTAAAATAAGTACATTTAATAAAGTAATGCCTTAATTTATGTTGAAAAAATTCACCTCATGCATCTTTCGGCATTTATGTAACTGCAAGAAAAATTACAGACAACAATTTTCCAACAATTATTGCCTTGTAAAGCCAAATTACTAGAGGTAATGATTGTAGCACGAATGCTGTGGTGTTTCCAGCACATTTAAATGGTTAGTAGTCATCTCTTACATGGTCCTTTTATCCATAGTGCTCCATTGGTAAGATCTGCATCCATTTCCTGTTTCGCAGCTGTAGGTGTGCATATGTTGTGACCTGTTAGTAGCTGCTAGCCATAAGGGATAGTCGCACTTGAATGCCTTCAGCAAATAGTTTAACCTGCACTAGCTTTGTTGCGACAGCAGAGTTTAAGCTTAAATGCAGCAATCACAGGTTACTTTGTAAACAGCTGATGCACAAATTGCAGGCATTTGGCTTAAATGTTGTTTATTCTGTGTTGGTTAAGACAAACCCAAAATGAAGTGAGTGAATACACAACACAGGACTCTGGTCAGTACCATGCAGAGTTGTGCTCCTGCAGGAGCACCTTCCACAACTGAGAGTTGCGCTTATACTAAAACCAACATTCGACCAGCAGCAGCACTGCACTTGCTCATATGAATGACAGTGGCCAAATACAGGAGGAACTAGAATTACAGCGCTGCGGTTGTATGCCTCCACTAACCAGTGCCAGAAATACTTACAAGGATACTTGTAAGTGTTTCTGGATCCATTTATCCAAATTCATATAAGGTCACTGTTTCTAATCAGTGAGTTCAATTTGAAGGAATTCCCTTGAGATGTTCCTGAGATATCAAATTCACAGTGACCTTTGACCACCAAACCATAATCAGGTCATCTATGAGTCAAAGTGAATTATGTCAGATGTAATGACCATTCACAGGAACATGAGGTCATTGTGACCTTGTCCTTTGACCCCAGGCACCAAAATGTAAGCAGTTCACCTTAGAGGCAAAGTGTACCAAATTTTAAGACTTGCCCTCAAGCTGATCATAAGATATCACACTCAAGAAAAACTTAGAGATACTTTGTGAGGCCACCGTGACCTTTCATCAATCCAGGGGAATGTTTAACCAAATTTGAGATTCCAAATATCATGCTCAAGAAAAACAAAATGTATTTTGTGAGGCCACCGCGACCTTGACCTTTTACCACTGGCTACCAAAATCGGTTCATTCTTGAGTACTAGTGAAAGTTTGTACTAAATTTGAAGTAATTCTCTGACGGTGTTATTGAGATATCACACTCTCGAGAATGGGGAGAACGAACAGTATGGGCAAATGGACATACTGGCTTTAGCCTGTTTCGAGTTAGGTTGAGGTGAGTTCAGGTCAGGTTTGCAGACAGTGACGAGTGGGATTGTAAAGGCAACTGAGGGAACTGGAGGCGAGTAAACTTTGAAGCTAACTGCAGTAAAAGCGATTATAAATTGTTGTTTTTCCCAAGAAAGACATGCTCTTCTTCTCCTCCTGCCCTCCTGTTGCATCCCTATTACTCTCCATACAATTCTTTGTTCTGGGGACCTCTGTTGTCCAGGCACAGTTGATTGGAATCTCATTAATCAGAAGCATGGTGGAATAAAAAGGAGGGAAAATTAAGAGCGAAGCAGCTTCCACTCTCATCCAAACATGTCCATGCACACTCAAACAAGCCACACACACAACAGCAAAACCAAACCACTCTGGGAAAATCACCACAGCGATAATTAGACCTGCGTCCAGATGAATATCTCTCACTGCAAGTCCCAAACAGCACTTATTAACATGATGCCGAGCAAGAAACCAAGAAGCATATGCAAGTGGGTAAGTACTTACACAATCAAAGGAGGACACACACACACACACACACACACACCACACAGACAGAGTATATTAGTAGCACCATGCCATTTCCCCTCCAACAGAGAGGCCATAACACTCTGTGAACCAGTAAATCACTTTTCATCCCCCCTAATGCAACTGTTCAACTTTCTCATTTCTCTGTACTCTCCTCTCATCTGTTTTTGTCTCTCTGCCTCTCTGTCTCCTTACATCTTTTTCCTCTCTCTCACACTGTTCCCTTGCCTCAATCTCTCAAAGTAGAAACTGCTGCCAGTCCAGTGGCTTGTGTGGAGTCGACATATGGAGGTAACGGAGCCGATGTAATTTGCAGATAGAGCTAAGACTGAAGGGAGAAAAGAAAGAGAGATGATAGAAGAGAGAAAGAGGTAAAAAACATTGAGCCATAGGAAGACAAAAAGTAGAGCCTGACCAATATTGATTTTAGTGGGCTGATACCAATACCTATATTTATTGGTAAATTAAATATCACCAATATTTTTTTATATCCGCCAATACACATATTTTCAAAAAACTGAAAAGATTCCAAAGAAGTCGAGAAAGATGAATGCACATCTTTTCTGTGCTGCCTATTCTGCACAATAACATTTTAATATTACCAAATATCGGCAAACATAAATGAATGCAATGTTTGTCACATGCTAATGGAAATGTTTCAGCGGTTCAAACAGAAAAAGTACAACACAGAGGCTTTCATGCTGATAATGGAGGTCGTCACAGATGTGGATGTACGTCTGTGTTAAATATGTCGTGGTGGGGAACAGGACAGACGGCATTGTTGCATGTCACACTTCTAATCCAGAAACAGCAGCATGCTATCAAAACTGGAGTCATGTATACAATGACATGACATGAAGATGGAGTTGAAAGGTCCAAGATCCCTTTAGCAACAATCTCATGTGTTTGTGGGAAGGAAATAATCTACGTATTGAAATGTCCTAAAAACAAGTCAGAAGCTTGTCTGGTCACAATCAGCACATTAAACATAGTAGACTGAGTCACAAAGTTTTAGTTTGAATGCCCTTAAATACAGTATTTAATACAGTGCTTATTTTAACCAAACCAAGGAAATCAGCATGTGGTGTGTTTTGTTGAATATTGACTCCTACTAATCAGGTAATATGTCGAATTGCAGACAATATAGTCGGATGTTCAAAGAGAAATTCAGTTTTTAGGTGATAAAGTGAAAACACAATTGGACCTACTCTTTTAAGTGATGTTAATTTGACTACATGTGTTGTACTGTCTCGCACCATCAACAAACACTGAAGAACCCAGTAATCCAGAGTTGGAATCTTTAATTGCAGAAGGGTCGGTGAATTAGAACATTTTTCTTAGTGACTAACACTTTAATCTGTTTCTCTCAGCTGAAGCTAACACCACTGAAGCGTCTCCATCACCTTCACTCTCTTGTCTTCTTCTCGTCAAAGGAAACTGATTTTGATGATGACAGCTTCACTGTCTCTTAAAACGTCTGCTCTCCATCACTGAACTCTATCATCATCATCATCAGGACTGGTTCTAACCTAACAAACTACCTGCCCAGACAGAACTCATCCGACTTAACAAACAGAACACAGGGGGGTATATACTGGCTGATCAGACCAGTTACACTCACATGAGATTAAATTAAATTGAAAACTTTATTAACAGACTAACTGACTACAAATGTAAGTAACAGGATACTTATTATATCACCAAAGCTGTATATCAAAGCCACACTTTCAATGTATGTTTATATCTAATCCCCCCTAATGCAGTGGGCACTTGGTTCAGCCCTACTGGGACTTCCTGCAGGACTCCATTTGAACCACTGCTTCCTGTTACTCACTGTTGGCCAAAGCTGGGAAGATGAGCCTGAAAGCAGAAGCTGAGAATCCTCCTCACCACAGGTAAAACAGAAAAGAAATTAGAATAACTGAAGATAAAGTAACATCATTGGCTTGTGTGTATTTGTAATGTGGCTGGAGAAGTGAAATGTTTGACAGTGTATGGGGTTTGTTGACTTCTAGTGGAGCTGTGTGGCTGCAGGTGCAGGCCTCATGAGGTCAAACAGTAGTCGTTCATGATTTGGCCTCCTGCTGAATGCTATTCAACACTTTCCCACAAAACTTAAATTGTCATTTGATACATTGTTAATGAGTTTGATAAACAATTAACTTTATTCACACTTTCATTGTTAATGAGTTTGATAAACAATTAACTTTATTCACACTTTCATTGT